CTGTTTAATTTCTTAATTCAGGGTTTCTCAAAACAGGAATCAGGCCTCTAGTCTCATCCCTGTGGTGGTGTCCTCTTTACCACTTCAGAAAATGATTTATTGGGATCTCAGCAGTTTTCCCCCTTTAATTCAAGTTTAGAAAACATTGTCTTAGCCCATGTAGAGACAGGTTAAGATTTAAATTGATGTTAACGGTCAGTTATTAGGAATCACAGATTGCTAAGTTCGTCTTCGTATTAATGACAACCTGGAAGCTTTCTCAGGAGTTAGGTTACCTGAGGTAAAGGGCGGGCTGTGATGGGAGTTGGGGGCACAGAGGTATGTGGAAGGTTGATACCTGCAGTTTGATTTCCCCAGTTCTCTCTACGTCACTGTCGACCATACCCCGGATCAGTCCTATTGTCAGATGAGAAGTTGGTTAGGAGTTTAGTTGCTTTCTGATGGCAGTAGGCAAAAAAGATGGAGAGAATGAATAAGTGAGGAAATCAGAAGTGGTGGCGGCCATGAGGGAGGAAGAAGTTCTCCAGCAGCCATTTGGGCTGGTGTGCAGCCCATATTATTAATAGATTTTATTTTTAATCCTATTGAATATGAATGCTACTATATTGATAAGCTTTACCTTAAAGGCTCATACTTATTTGCCCAAAGGCTGCTGACCTCATTAAACCTGACAGGGGATGAATCGTGCTTATTTATTCCTTTTTCCCCAAGGTGTAATCTTTGAAAAGTCTTGTTTGATGTACTAAAAAGCACTAATAAGCCATGAAACAATTCAGGATCCATGTCCATGCAGGCATATTATATCCATGGGTTTTGATGGATTTCAGTTAGTCTGTTTTTTTAGTCATGACACCTATACCATAAATTATAAACATTTTTTCAGTTAATTGGAAAAGGGCTCATTTGAGGCAGAAACTTTCCTTAAAGCTTAATCAAATAGGTATATAGAGCAAAATTGACTTATTGAGCATTGTGGTGAAAGGCTTAGAAAACAAATTCTGAAGACATATATTAATACATAGAGTGGGTTCTGGTGAACCAATAAAGAAAAAAAATGGAATGAAAATATTATACCTCGCTTATATATTCTTTTCTATAGTAAAGGTCCATTATGTTTTTAAAAAGAACATGGTGATCCCAGGGCAAAACATCCCCTTAGTGGTTTCTGGACAGATGACTGAGCGTGCTCCACTGTATTCCACTGGAGCATTCTAGTATTGGGAAGCGTTTCCTATATTGAATCTTTACCTTTAGCCCATTGGTCCTCCCCAGTTTTTAAACTCTACTTTGCCTCAACTTAGGCTTAATATCTGATGTTTTGTTGACTAACCAAATTGTTCTAGTTATTTTTATCGTATGTGATAATGTTTCTGACCTCTCCTAAAAATTAGAATGAACCTACTTTTACTATTTAATAATAAATGATCATAATATAACATACACCTCCTTGGAGAATATGGTGGATTGTTACGGAAGTTCTTAATATTTTTTTTCTTTGTTTGCTACAGCTGATGCTATTAATAATGCTGCAGGCTTTGGTTTCAGAGGATATGACAAAAGTGGAGCAGCTCGTTGGGACTTAATTTCCAATTTGAGAATTCAGCAAATAGAGGTTAGTAGTAGTAAATCGTTAAGAAATTATTACAGTTACCATATGATACTTTAAGTACCATAGTTTACTTTCATAGTTATGATGTGATGTCATAAGAGTGATATTGAAGGATTTTTAATAATAATACTCATTCTTCAGCCAATATTTATTGGTCATCAACCATGTGCCCCAATTACTGAGGAGCCAGTGAATGAGATAGGTACAGTGTGAGCCCTCAAGGAGCCTTACTCTAGTTAGGGTTACAGAGTACAGAAAAATAGGTGGTGATTAGAGGGGCCACGTGTGTGTTTCTGAGATAGGAATCCAGCTTAGAGTAGATGGCTCAGGGAAGAGGGTCCCACAGAAAATAGTGTCTTAAGCTGAGTCGCAAATGGTAAGTAGGAGATAGGCAGAAACTCCAAGGAGAGGGAGCAGCCTGAGGGGATGAGAACGGGTATGTGGCTCATGTTGGCTCATAGTATAGAGAGCAGGGGAAGAAGAGGCTGGAGAAGTAGAGGCCAGGCCACACACATTCTCAGGGGCCATAATAAGAGTGTGGAGGCCAGGCACAGTGGCTCACATCTGTAATCCTAGCACTTTGGAGGCTGAGGTGGAAGAATCATTGGAGGCCAGGAGTTTGAGGTTGCAGTGAGCTATGATCGCATCACTGC